GTCCCTGGTGCCCCTGGAGGACAGAAAATGTCACTGTTTTCCCGGAACTGAAGTTACAGAGAGTTATGACCCCCACCCCCACCCTCGCTGCCCCTGTGGCTGCTGGGAACTGAACAAGGTCCACTGTACAGAGTAAGTGGTCTTAACTGTTGAGCCATCTTTCCTGCCCTTCCCTCTTCCTTGTTGGAGACAGGATCTCTTGCAGAGCCTGGAGCTCATTGATTTGGCTGGACTGGCTTACCAGTGAGCCCTAGGACCCACCTTTCTGCTTCCCCCATTGCTTGGGTTACAGATATTCCCTGCTGTGCCTGGATCTTACATGGCTGCTGAGTATCTGAACTCAGATCTCCATGGCTTGCAGCAGGTACTTTACCCCCTGAGCCATTTCCCTGACCCCTTCAGTCCTTTACTCTCAGTAGCTATGAATGATCTACTCTTTCAGTCTGAAAATCAAGGGCTTGTTCAGAATATGAAAGTAAAATGGGTTTAAGTAGTTGTCTCAATAAGTTTCATCCTCCAAGGCAAAACCCACAGGTTCCACACCTCATTTTAAGTCCCTCAGCACCACAAAGGCACTACTCAGTGAGCTTTTTAAGTCATCTCCAGGGGCTGGAGAGATGGCTCAGTGGTTAAGAGCACTGACTGCTCTTCCAGAGGTCCTGAGTTCAAATCCCAGCAACCACATGGTGGCTCACAACCATCCGTAATGAGATTGGATGCTCATTGGAGATCCGTAATGAATAGGTTCTGGTGTGTCTGAAGACAGCGACAGTGTACTCATAAATAAAATAATAATAATATAAAAAAAGTCATCTCCAAGTCAATCGGATTTGACTCTCAGAAATAAACTTTTCAAAATCAAACCTGCCTGAATCCTTTCAGGATTGTCATTATTGGGACTGTCTGCTTACTAAACAGTAATGGTGGCAATCACTTACAGAGCTAGGTAGCAGGTGCTGCCCACACATGCTAGGATATCCCTGCAGCACGCCGCCATTATCCTCCCTTACATTATCATTAAACACATTAGGTTTGAGAGCTTCAAGAACTTGTTTATAAAATATTGAAATATGAACTTGAGTGTCTCAGAAACCCCAAACCTCTACCTGTGGCGTGGTTTAGTGTATGTAACCTACACTTCTGGATGGAGATTATGGATCATTCCAAGAGTTGGATCCTAAGCTCTTAAATGGCTATGGGACATAGTATATGATGAAAGAGTTATAATAACGTGAGGGCAGTGGGTGAGGAGATGTGTATCGTGTTATTCAGAGAAATAGGCTATAAATTCTCAAGCCGTAGGAATAGTTTTTGTTTTGTTTGTTTTTGTTTTTATTGATTTTATATATATGAGGACCCTGTTGCTGTCTTCAGACACACCAGAAGAGGGCATCAGATCCCATCACAGATGGTTGTGAGCCACCATGTGGTTGCTGGGAATTGAACTCAGGACCTCTGGAAGAGAGTAAGTGCTCTTAACCACTGAGCTATCTCTCCGGCCTGTGTGTCTTGTTTTTAAGTAGACAAAGGAGACTAGGGATAGAAGTCAATTGGTAGAGACTTGCCCAGCGTACACGAAGCCCTGGATTTGATCCCCAGTTGCAGAATAAACAGGGAATAGTGGTTTTGCAGCCCTTGGAAGGTGAAAGCAGGATGATCAGGAGTTCAAGGCTGGTCTCAAAAAGCAAAAAAATAAAATGAGAGATAGCTTGACAGTTAAGAACACATACAGCTTTTATGGAGGATTTAGTTTGGTTCGTATTATCCAGTACAGGAGGCTCACAACCACATGCAAATCCAGCTCTAGGGTGTCTGACACCCTCTTTCCCTCTATGGGCACTTACACTCTCAAGCACAAAACCACACAAACACACTGATGCATACTTAAAAATAAAAAGTAAATCTTAAAAATGATACAAAATAGAAAAGACAAGGGGATTGAGGTGTGTGTCAACGGTAGAGTGCTTGCCCAGCAAATATGGGGCCTAGGTTCAAACTCTAGTACTAGAAAACACACTTGAAAAGAGAAGTTTAAAGCCAGAAAGGATTCAATACAAAACATGAACCCTGGTTCCTAGTTATCAATTATTAATGGGTGACCTTGGCTAAATCTATTTCTTCAAATTAAATAGGAGATATTATTAATAAGAGTATCTGTGCTGGCTAGTATGTCAACTTGGTACAAGCTAGAGTCATCATTTGGGAGAGGGACACTTAATTGAATAAACGTCCCCTTCATACTCGCCTGATGGCAAGCCTGTGGTTTATGTTGTTAACTAAGGATTGATGCTGTAAGACCCAGCTCATTGTGGGCGAGCCCACTGCTGGGCTTGGTGGTACTGATGCTCTATTAAACAAACAAACAAATGAAAAACAAAAACAAGTCAGTCCTCTCTCTCTCTCTCTCTCTCTCTCTCTCCCTCCCTCCCTCC